TGAAATTTTTTTTCATCCAACTGCACTGAGTTAGGAATCAACTTGAAGGCTGGATTTGTCATCCTTTGATGGGAAATGCCCGCAGGGCTCCTGCAAAGGCAGCTCAGGGCTGCATCTTCACCAGTGTTGCTTTGACCAAATATGCCAGCTCCTGCAGGAATGGGAGTAAGAAGAGCCAAACAGGGTTTAAGTGGTTTCTGACAGGTTTTGGCAAGCCTTTTCCGAGAAGCTCTGATCCAAGCGTCTGCAAATCCGTCATTCCTCTTTTAAATCTCCATGGCCAAGATCAGCCCTGGAATTTGACTCTGTCTTGAATGGTCAAGGCAGAGCTGTCCAGTGAAATAGGATGCAAACCACATGCATGATTTTATTTATTTATTTGTTTGTGATATTTATTTTTAAATTTTTATTGAAGTGTGGTTGACTTGCAATGTTAGTTTCAGGTATACAGCAAAGTGATTCAGTTATACCTATGCATACATATATATTTTTTCCTTTCAGATTCTTTTCCTTTATATGTTATTACAAGACATTGAATATAATTCCCTGCGCTACACAGTAGGTCCTTATTATTTATCTACTTTATATATAGTAATGTGTGTCTGTTAATCACCAATCCCTAATTTATCCCTCCTCGCCCTTTCCCCTTTGGTAACCATGGTTTGTTTTCTACGTCCGTGAAACTGTTTTTGGTTTGTAAATAGAATTTGTATGATTTTTTTTAAGATTCCACATATACATGATATCATATATTTATCTTTCTCAGTCTGACTTACTTCACTTAGTATGATCATCTCCAGGTCCATCCATGTTGCTGCAAATGGCAGTATTTCATTCCTTTTTATGGCTGAGTAATATTCCATTGCTGGTATCCACATCTGGATAGCCACATTTTAAAAAGTAAGAAGAAACAAGTGAAATTAATTATTAAAATACACGTAATTAACCCAACATATCAAAAATGTCATTCTACCATGTAATGAACACAAAAATATCACTAAGGAGATATTTTGCACTCTCTCTTTTCATACTCAGTCTTTAAAATCTGGTGCGTATTTTATGCTTTCAGCACAGATAGCCACATGCGGTCCTGGGCAGTGGCAAGTCCAAGAAAGCGAGTTGGCTATGGGGAAAAAGCCATGTCGTACAGACAAAAACTTATATTAGGCATCTCATGCCTGGGGGCCTCCTAAGGTTGAGAACAGCTGGGGGCCACTCTGTGGAACTTCTTTCCCTGAACGTTCTTGTAGATCTGAGGATTTCAGCTTGTCCACATCTGTACCTATATGTATGTTTTATTTTAAGGGCTGGCGGGGATGACAGCCAAGCCCAGCTCAGAGTGGAAGCCAAGACCTCGGAACCCACCACTCAGGACAACCTGCGTGTGTCTGTCACCAGGCGAGACTGGCTTCTCCAAGAAAAGCAACAGTTGCAGGTAAGTGGGTGAAGGATCTTCAGGAAATAGGACAGCATTTTTCTTACCCATTTGAGCCAAAGCGCAGAGGGAGGGTCTTTGCTTGGGTGTGGCAATTAGAGAGCTTTGGCTGTCCGCCCGGGAAGTAAGCGGCGGAGTGATGGGTGGCGGTGACTGGAGGGCTTGCAGAGTCTCGTTACAAATGAGAGGTTAAAACCTCGCCAGTGTTTGTGTCTGTTATTGATACTCCTCATACCTTTTGAATATACTTTCCTTGTCTGCCAGGCCAGTTTGTCACCTCATCATTTTGACCTTTAGAAGGTTCTTTTGGAAGGCAGAAAAAAAAATCTTGAGTTGTGGAAACCTATGGAAATTGCTGTCAGGTTGGACTGTGAGTTGCAGTCCTCAGAGGTGTAAATACCGACTGGGTGAGGCAGGCATGACTGAGAGTGACTGGGGCATCACGGAAGCTCCAGGTTGACCCAGAGGAGTGGATACTAGTTGGCCGAGAATCATCTGGAGGCTAGAAATCTTGGTGCAGCCCCGATTTAAAGCCAGGAGGCAGCCAGGAATGCTGGAAGTTGACAGGTCCCCCTACACCCTAGAGGGAGAGAAACTTGAAGCTCTGTCCACACCTGCTTGAGCTCGGAGGCCTGAGGCAGGAGTAAGGAGCAGGTAGGAAACACTGATTGGAGGCGATAGGACTTTTGGAAAGAGCCTAGGTCTTTCACACCCAAGTCCAGAACCAGGCAGAGGCTCTAAATAGCTGAATGAACTTAGACCAGTCAGTGGGGCTTGGACAAGTTCCCGGGAGCCCCCTTCCCATCACGTCGAGTGTTCCTGTTGCTCTGGGTTTGCCCCTCCAAGTCCATACAATAGCAAGGTGGCAAAGGGAAGCAAAAGCCATCGCAAGTTGAAGATATTCTACAATAAACTAATGCTTTCATATTCAGTGAGTATTACTGCAAAGCTCGGTGAGCTGCACATGTGAAATCTGGTTTTAGATTCTGAAGGATCTTTGCCAGCTGAAGGTCTACCCAATTCCTGGTGATGTCAGAACACCACTGTGGCTCAGGGTACTTAGGGAGCATTCTTGGCAGAGCTCTGGGGGAAGGTGGCTATTCATTGATTCAGTGAGTGTTTATTGAGTGTCTGCTGTGTGCCAGGTACCATTTGTGCTGCTCAGAATTCCTGTGCTGGTAGGGGGGAGATAGAGAAGAAATGGCAAACATAAAGAAGATGTGGTATATGTATATATACAATGGAATACTACTGAGCCATAAAAAGGAATAAAATAATGCCATGTGCAGCAACATGGATGGACCTGGAGATCGATATTCTAAGTGAAGTAAGCCAGAAAGAGAAAGAAAAATGCCATATCATATTACTCATATGTGGAATTAAAAAAAAGGCCACAAATGAACTTATCTACAAACCAGAAACAGAATCACAGACATAGACAACAAACTTATGGTTAGCAAGGGGGAAAAGGTGTGGGAATGGATAAATTGGGAATTCGAAAATTGCACCTCCTGGGGAGCGATGGAAATGTTAGCTATCTTGATTGTGGTGGTGGTTCCATTGGTGTATACATCTATCGAAATCAGTCAAGTTGTACATCTGAAGTATGTGCAGTTTATTGTACAGTAACCATACCACAATAAAGGTGTTTTAAAAAAAGGAGAAATGGCAAACATAATAAAGACCTAAATTATATCCCTAGTTTGCTGTCGGGTGGTCGGAGCTCCCAGGCATGGACGAGGGTGTTGGGGTAGCAGGGTCTGCTCACTGAGAAGTGAGACTGAAGCAAACACTTGATGGGAGAAGGGAGTGGGCCTTGCAGAAATCTCCAGTCAGAGCATCCCTGGCGGAGGAAACAGGCATGTGAAGGCCTGTGGTGGCAGCGTGTCCCAGGCATTCAAAGGCAGCCAGGAGGCCAGGGTCGGAATGGAGGGCAGAGGGGAAGGTCAGAGATAAAAGGGGCCTTGCAGGCTGTGAGCTGGCCTTGAGATGAGTTAAGGCCGTGGGACCCAAGGCCACGATCAGAGCATGTTTGTAGCATGCAGTAAATAATTGCTGTATGCATGCATCAATTATGTAAGATTTGGAACAAAGAAAATAGAAGTACGCGTGTGCTAGAGATATTCTATAAGCCTAATGAACAAAGAAATTCGCATTGTGCATGTGCTGGCTGAGAACAGATAAAAAGCAGGACGGTGCATCACAGGCACGCACCTCCCTGTGGCAACAGAATAAAGTGTTGTTACCCCCAATGGTGTCTGGTGGTATGGCAACTCCTTGTGCATTTTTTCATTTGGGCCCCTCACCTTCTAGAACCCCACATCAGCCCCCCTGGACTGACACAGGCCTTTGTCTCTGATTGGAATGGGGGGCCCTGGGAGGGTTTTAAGCAGTGAAGTGACATAATCTGACCACATTTTATAGAGTCACTTTGACTTCTCTGTAAGAGTAGGGTGTAGAGTCGCTGTGGAAAACAATATGGTGGTTCTTTAAAAAATGAGAAGTAGAATTACCATGTGATTGAGCATTTCCACTCCTGGGTAGATCCCCTCTCCCCCCAGGAACTGAAATATTACTCAGCCATTAAGAGAAGATTCAGACAAGTGCTACAACATGGGTGTGGGCATTACACTAAGTGAAGTAAACCAGCCACAAAAAATCAACTATAGTGTGATTCCGTTGATAGGAGGTCCCTAGAGGAGTTGGATTCACAGAGACAGAAAGTAGACTGGTGGTTGCCAGGGCTGGGGGTTGGGGTGGAAATGCAGGGTTAGTGTTTCATGGGGACAGAGTTTCAGTTTTGCAGGATGAAGAGACTTCTGGAGATGGATGGGGGTGATGGTAGCACAATACTGTGAATGTGCTGAATGCCGCTCAAGTGCACCTAAAAATGGTTAAGATGGTACCTTTCATGTTACATGCATTTTACCACAGTTAAAAAAAATTAAAAGAGAAAAGAATAGAGGATGGGAATTCAAAGGTTGGACATGGGGAGATTGGCAGAGAGACTGTCAATAATATTATCATCTTGGACCGATGGCGTCCATGCTGTTTTCTTAGAGTGTCTTAGTGGTGGCTTTTCAGTACCTCCTCCGTCTCCTCCCTCCCCTGCTGGAATCAGGGTCAGTGGGCAGAGCTGTGGGTGACCTGTACCTTGGGGGTTGGAGGACATGGGCCAGAGATGGGGAGACAGCCAGGATCAGCACTGTGTGCTTATCAGCTAGAGACCAGTGCACGGAACATGGGAGTGTGTTAATTAAGAGTCTCATTTTAAATGCAGAATCCTCTGGGCAGCGAGATGCTTATCTGCCCCAGTGCTGTGTGCCCCGTGGGCCCTCAGTTACCTGCTGCTTGTTTTATTCATCGACCTCAAGATTGGACGGTGCTCTGTGGATTCTTTGGATTTCCGTTTGTCATGTTAGTGGAAATTCAACTTATTTAATATTTCTATGAAATTTGGACGGCATAACGCTATCTGGGGCATCTCCGATCCTGTAGACTGAAGAAGCTATGATTTTTAATCTTTCTCTCCACGCTAAATTTGCATGTTTGGGAACAGACCAGCCAAGGATTGTTTGCTTTTCTTTTCTGGTCTGTGGCTGGTGTTACCCGTTTAGCTGGTAGCCCCTGAAATGAAGTAAGTTGTTTATATATTTGCTGGGTTCTTCCAAGGCAAATTCTTGGTTCACTGCACACCCCCCTCCTCTCACCAGGAACTTGGGAATATGTTTATTAAAAGAGTCTCATCTGGTCAGCATCCACAGCATGCCCACGGTGGTCCCGGCAGCCGAGACATCCTCCATCACGTGCTGTGACATGTCCTCCAGCAACAGTACCCGATCGTCATGGGGTTCAGGGACCACACCACGCTGTCTCAGATCACGTGCTCGGGGGTGGGTGGGCTGGCACGACTGTGCCTGTGATCTTTGTCACGTGTAATAAAGCAATTGGAAAAAGAGCTGACTGAGTGCTACGTTCTGTCCCTTTAAAAAAATGATTATGAGTATTTAATGCTGGGGAGGGTATGTTTTTCCTTATGCCAACTCATGAGAAATATAAAGCTGGCCTGATTTTTGCAGGTCAGCAAACCTCCTGCCTTCCACCCGCCTCCGAAGGGGGCTTCACGGCTCTCGTGCACGTGGCTGGCCCCCGTGTTTAGGACCCAGCAGCAGCGCGGTCCGCCGTGAGCGGGGTTAACTGATCACATCTGCTCTCTCCCTCCTCTGCAGAAGGAGATCGAAGCCCTCCAAGCCAGGATGTCTGTGCTGGAAGCGAAAGAGCAGCAGCTGAGGCAGGAGATAGACGAGCAGGAGCAACTCCTCCCGTGGCAGGGCTGCGACCTGAGCCCCCTGCTGGGCGGGCTGACCCCGCGCGAGCTGCAGGAGGTCCACGACACCTTGCAGGACACCCTGGCCTCAGCCAGCCGGGTTCCCCTGCGTGCAGAGCCGCCCGAAGCCATAAGAAGGTACTGATGCCTTCCTCACTGATACTGGATCGCTCACCTTGTGTATGTTTATGGGATTGATTTGGTCCGCTAGCCCTCAGATATAAATACTTCCCAAGCAGTGCTTGCAATATTTTTGCAACAAAAGCACTGTTGGTATTTTGAGTGGCAAAATTCTTGACGGTGTGAGGCAGTCCTGCTCATTGCGAGATCATTTCCACCCTGGCTGCCCAGCCCACTAAATACCATTACTCCTCTCCATTCTAATGTGCACCTAACTCATTTCCAAACACCCCATGGGTGCCTTCTCCCCCTCTGAGATCTCCTGGAGCTCAGTTGGTTGGAGATTCTGATGCCAACCTTCGCTGAGGACGATCATCTACAGTGTGGGGAGGGGGTGAGCCATTAAGAAGCAGACCTTCTTAATCCATGATTAATAATTAATTATAATAATTATATCATTATAATTAATAATGATATAATAAATATAATAAATATATTATGAAGTACAATGATTATTAATGCTTAATAATTAATGGTTAATAATGGTGAATAATTACTGTTCATGATAGCTAACATTTACTGAGCCTTCCTGTGTGCCAGGCACTGTGCTAAATTTTACTCTATGAGTTCCTTCTATTAGTATATCCATTTTACAGATGAGGAGAAGAAAGTTTAAGAAGGTTAAACAGGAAGGAAGGAAATAGCTCAGTGGGAGAGCGTGTGCTTAGCCTGCACGAGGTCCAGGGTTCTAATCCCCAGGACCTCCATTAAAAAAAAATAATAAAAAACTTTTTTAAGTGATTAAAAAAAGGTTGAATACTTTGCCCAAAGTCCCAAAGAATAAGAGGCAAAACTGATGCTTAAATTCCCATTCATTCTTTAAGCCTAGTTTCTTGTCCACTTACTGCGGAGGGAGGGTCTTCCCCGTGCTCTCTGCTGCGCTTCTGATCTCACCCTGCAGGAGGTCATGATCCTATTCTGGCGAAAGGCAGAACCCACACTGCTGTAGACAGACAAGTGAGTAGCTCCCGGGTGAATGTGCAGATGGTGGTAAGGACCACAGGTGCTGTGGGTCCAGAGCAATGAGAGGGGTCAATATTCTGCTGGTCATTATGCCAAAGAAAAAACTTAGGAAAACTTCAGCCCCTGCAGTGGCTGAGAACCTGACTCTGCCACCTGATTCCCTGGGGTTGCGTCCTCGCTCAACCGCTTGTTGGCTGGGAACCACTTAGTATCTGGGGGAAGGGATGGGCCGTTACGTGGATGAACTGAGTTAATACATACAGAGCTCCTGCAACGGTGCCTGGGTGGCAGCCAGTGCTTTATTCTGCTCACTGCAGTTTTATCTCGGAGATTTTGGTCTCCTACAGGCTGTCAGCGTGACTTTCAGATGTGTCTTAGGCTGTTTGGTGAGTTACCGTCCCCTCTGACACAAGTGTCACACCCGGTCCAGCCTATCCAAGCAAGCCACAGACACTTCCTCCTGTTCCCCTTCCGGCCCTAATCTTTCCTTGCAGAACTCCCACCCCGTGGCTCGTGCCCTTGGAGGAGGGGGAGAGATGTGGGTTGCTGTCGAATTTCAGCCAAGGAAACCGATTATCGAATTTGCCTGTACTGTTTCCCCTTTACCTTGGTCTGCGTCCTTGACCTCTAAGGGTCTGTCTTACTCCCGCTTCCCTTGTCCTCCTGGGGAAGCCACTCTGCACACACACACATGATACTACACATCACATGTATGTGCACACATGCAATATATACATTATGTTAGACATCACTTGTGTACATGGAATATGCATAATTTCTAAGATGAAATATACATGTCCGTTTGTTTTTGTTTATAAATGCATATATTTATACATGAGGCTTAAAAGTGAGCCTTTTGCAGTCCCACCATCCAGATGTGTCCTCTTATTCCTCCTTTTGCTTTTATCACCGCGGAGGTCAATTTTACTCCTCTCATCTCTCCCGCAAGCTCTCGGTGGAAAAAAGCTAGGGCTGGCTTAACTTAGAACCCGCTGCAGTATTTAACCAAGCCTCTATGTGTTGAGCTGAATCCATGGGCTCCCTCCCAGCAGGTGTGCCCTGTCCCTCTACAGAGGGGCGCAGGCGGCCGAGGGCTGCTTTCACAGGTGCCGACCCACCGTGCGCAGAGCCGCCTGGCGTGGCGGGCAGGCTGTTCTTGGAATCCTCCTTGACGGCCGAGGAAATAAAAACCCAGACAGTTTCCTAGTAAGAGACCTACTCATGTACGCCTTTAGCTGCCCTCTGGTCTGAGCCAATAAAAGATTTCCTCCTAGAGATTTCTTACTCTTAATACAAGGAACTCCGTAGTGTAGTGGGCTGATGGAGCTGGACCCCTGAACTCAGATCTTCTCATTTTTTGGTCTGTTATTCTCCCCACGGGCTCCAGCTTGCCTTTGAATCAGGATGAGATGCAGACAAAATAAACGTGTGACTTTGGCCCCGTCATCCGGTGCTTTCATCAACCAAACAGGCTCTGGAAAGACCTTTCAAAGTTTGTGACAATCCGATCTGATGATGCTGTTAGAGAAGTGGGATATGATGAGGATGGTTCTTGAATGTGGTGCGATGCTGTCTGGGGACCCAGCATCTCCAAACCCACCCGCTCCCACTGAGGTCACAGAGTTCAGGTCAAGAGCAGGCTCTGGCTTTTTGTGAGATACACCTGTGGGAACACCTGGGCATCTCCGTGACCCTGAACCCAGAGGGCTCTTAGGAATATGGAGTTGCCTGCAGAGGGTGGGAGGGAAGTTCCCGGAGCGGTTAAAGATAAAAAGCAACACGGGAAATGAAGTGGCTAGTTGATAGCGTGGCCTCCCCCTGGTGCTGAGGTCATGTAGGTGCACACTGTGTGGGACCCTCATTGTGAGCGGAGCACCTCCAGTGCTCAGTGGCATTTTGTGTGGCTGGAGGGGGACCACCCTGAGGCGTCCTCGTCATCTGGGCAACCCTGCAAGAGCTGACCTTGGCGTCTCCTTTTTGTACGAAGTGCAGGTGCAGGGAGGCACCTCCCTGTCTCCGGGGAGTTCGGGGTGTGTAGGTGCAGGTTTGGACTGGTCAGTTTCCTTTCTCCCCCACCGGGGAGGTGAGGCATCGTGTGGTTCCCGGCCGTAAACATTGATTAGAAAAACCATTGTTCTGTGGGATTTCCGCAAGAGGGAAGACACGCTTTTTCTGAGCGGACAGGCCATCGTACAGACTCCCGGAAATGGAGTATTTGAAAGAGACCGATGTGGAGTTTTATCAGGTCAGCAGATCAGAGATTGCTTGGCCTGGTGTTTCTAACTAATTGTTCACTGTCCCACTAACGTAGTTGTTGCCATGAGGGACTGGTTACCTTTTGGAATGCTGACTTGGAGGGTGTGTCCCAGAGGTGCCCCAGCCAGAAGAACACATCTTACCGGCGTCAATAGTTGTTTTTTGTTTTTTTGTAAGAGTATGGTTGACCCCTGAACAATGTGGGGATTAATCTACATATAATTCATAGTCGGCCCTCTGGGTCCATGGTCCCTCTTCATCCATGGATTCAATCAACCACCGACCGTGCACTCCTGCAGTGTTTACTTTGGAAAAATACCTGCATGTTAAGTGGACCCTCAAAGTTCAAGCCCGTATCATTGAAGGGCCAGTTGTAGCTTCTTCCCAGGCCAGATGGAGACATCCAGACAAACTAGGATAGAGGAAAATCTTGGGCTTATGAAGAGAGGTTACAGAAACCAGTCTTGTGACAGAAATCTGGAGAAACAGACCACTGAACATCCGATCATCATCATCCGCAAAGATTTCTCGTAGAGACCGGCTAAGAACGCAGGGTGCTCTCTGGGGAGGAGCCGCTTCTGATGTAGTCCGCTCGGTACTGCGCACGTTCACAGGGAGGGCTGTGGTTCTCTCCCTGGTTAAAAACCCTGTTGGGCTTGAGAAGGAACATCCTGAGTGCTTGGCGTTTGGGTGCGAATCGCTGATGGAGACTGAGTCATCATTTCTGGCTGTGGCTTGTGGGGAATGTTTTGGCTGAGAGCACGCGCTGGGGACGAGAGACTCGGTGGCTTTTTGTTTGGCTGTGACAATAGGAGTCAAAGCAGCAAGTTGAATTTTCTGATGTCTGGGTTTTGGAGCAAATGTCTTAGCAGGATGGGGTGAGGAGGCACCTTCTCAGACATCATAGCTTTCTTCTGAGAGAGCCAGAGAGACTGGTCTTCTCCTGATGAACGAGGGGAGAACATTTTTTGTGTGTGTGTGAGGGGATGGGTAATTAGGTTTATTTATTTATTCTTTAATGGAGGTCCTGGGGAATTGAACCCAGGACCTCATGCATGCTAAGCATACAGTCTACCAATTGAGCTAGACCCTCCCCTCTCCAAGAGAAGAACTTTAAAAAAATTTTTTTTATTGAAATGTAGTTGATTTACAATGTTAGTTTCCAGAGTACAGCGAAGTGATTCAACTATACAGATATATACGTGTATATTTTCTTTCGAATTCTTTTCCATTATATGTTATTACAAGAAATTGACTATAATTCCCTGTGCTGTACAGCAGGACCTTGTTGTTTATCTACTTTATGTCTAGTGATGTGTGTCTGTTAATCCCCAACCCCTAATTTATCCCTCCCCGCCCTTTCCTCTTTGGTAACCATAGTCTGTTTTCTATGTTTGTGAGTCTGGTTTTGGTTTGTAAATAGAATTTGCATCATTTTTTTTATTCCACATATAAGTGATATCATGCGATGTTTGTCTTTCTCTGACTTACTTCACTCAATATGGTGACCTCTAGGTAAGCAGGAGAGCATGTTTAAACACCTGGAACTCCACAATCTGGAGGCTGGCAGGGCAGGGATGTGTGAAGGACAGAAGCCACTCGAAAGTTTCAGTTTCCCTCATCCCTGGGATTCCAGTCCCTTGGCTTTAAAGCAAACGTCTTGTTTCCTCCTGCAAGGCCTCCTCTGATGGGAGAGGTCCAGACGGCTTTCCTCTACTCAGTCTGATCGTCCCCCATGT